TTGGGCTCCCTCCCTTTGCCCTGATCAGGGCCACTAGGGGCACTGGAGACCTCAGGGGTAGTGACCTGTGTTCTCAGAGGACTGCTGACCTTTCAGCTTGAGTGACAGGCATGGGAGTGTGACAAGCACCTCACCTGGCACAGTACCTTTGCCCGGGGACTCCCAGCACCCAGTCTCCCCCATAGGGGGCAAGTGCTTCAGTCCTGCCCCTGACGGGCTGCATCTGGGAGGAGCTCAGGTGAATATTTACTTCCTTCTTCCTGGTTTTAAAAGTACTAGCCAGTACTTAAAACTGCAACTTCTAAATACAAAATAAAAGGAAAATATTTATAGGAGGAAATTATTAATTTGATATTCTTTAGTGAATTTGTATAATTTCTCAAGTGGGTGTGGCTTATTTCCCCAGAATATTCAAGTATCTATGATAATCTTTTGACCTTTTGCATTTGTTTAAAATAACTCAATGTGAAGATAAGATTACATATAAGACATTTTGAACTGAATCATCTTCATTTGCTTCCATTGCAGAAAAAAACCTTCAATTCATATGTTCTCCTATGTTTAGAGAACCCAATAAAGTGCAATAATTTAAAAAAAATAGAAGTACTAGCTAGGCATGGTGGCACATGCCTGTAATCCCAGCACTTGGGAGGCTGAGGCAGGAAGATCGTTGTGAGTTTGAGACCAGCCTGAGCTACAAAGTGAGCTCAAGGCTAGCCTAAATTAAGCAGCGAGGCCCTGGCTCAAAAAGACAAAAAGAAAAAAACCTCAAGGGTCAGAGAGGATATGTAGAAATAAGGCCCTTGTGCATTACTGGGAATATAAAATGGTGCAGCTGCTACAAAAAAGGCTCCTTAAAACAATTACGCATAGAATTACCGCATGATCTGGTAATTCCACTTCCGGATACAAACCCAACAGAATGGAGAGCAGGGACTGCAACAGAAATGCATACGCCCATATTTGTAGCAGCATTATCCACGGGCAATAGCTTAGTGAATAAGAACTTTTGGTTTGGGGTGATGAAAAGATTTTGGAAGTATATAGTGGTGTTGGTTGCACAACCTTATGTATAGATTGTGTGTAAACCTGGTTTAAATGATAAATGTATGATATGTATATAATATCCACAATTAAAAAGTAATGCTAGTGGGTTGGAATGTAGCTCAGTGGTAGAGTGTGTGCCTGGCCCTTCTGAGAGGAGGCCTGGGAGGTGGTGGCTTCCTGATGTCTTTCTTTTATGCAAGCCAGACACTGGGATTCCAGTCTGACCAGGCAGAGCCTACCCTTCCCTTTCAACCTAGGTTTTCCCCTCTGTGACTTCCTCTCACACTCTTCAGATTCCTGAGCAGGGAACACAGGGAACATTTTCTCTGTTTCATGGTCTCCCTCCCACCACCTCTCAAGCCTCCTGTTCAGCAGCTAGCATGCCCCGTCAGTGTCCTCCCCAGAGAGGTTCACAGGTCTAACTGTTCCAGGTGTCTTTGTGCCTCCTGATACATGCGCACACAAGTATGCAAGTGTCTTCCTTAACAAGTGGGTTCATCAGCTTTCCACTACCATAACAAATACCTGCAATAAATTAACTTCAGAGAAGGAAAGGTTTGTTTTGGCTCTGGATTTCAGAAGTTCCAGTCCATGATAGTTGGGCCTATGACAGCGCAGCACATCCTGGTGGGAGCACATGGTAGAGGAAGCTGCTCACCTCATGGCAGCAAGGAAGCAAGGGAGAAGACAGGAAGGAGCCAGGGTTCCAATACCCTCTTCAAGGGCTGGTCCTCAGTGACCCAACTCCCTTCCATTAGCCCCACATCCTCATCCACCTTCCAACAGCACCACAGGCTGGGGACCAAGCCAGGCTAAACTGTCAACATAGGTGCCTCTGGGGACAGCCGAGATCTGAACTATAACACCAGGGCTGTGTAGTCCATACTCACCAGGACCTTGCTTTTTTTTTTAACTTAAAAATCTCTTGGGCCAAAAAATTCTCTTGGGAATTTCGTCATAAATTAAAAAAAAAACTCCCTGAATGAAATCAGGACATTTTTCTTGACCTCAGGCCCCCATGGGAGATCTGAGCGTGGCTGTCAGAATGTCTCTGAAAATAGCAAGTGGGGCTGGTTGCTGAAGCAAAAACAGATAATCACTTCTCCGTCTCCTCAGTTGTCCCATGATCTTCCCTGCTAGGGATGACCCTGGGGTTGGTGGGTCACAGGAAGCTGAAGCAAAAAGGCTTAAAACAGAAAGGGAAGACTTCTTTCCTTAAGAGACAGACCCAAATCTGACGAGGACTAAGAATACCTTGGACAACTAGAGCAGGGCTGGGGTAAGGGTGTTGCTTCCAAGGGCCAAGGCAGCAGAAACTTCCCCAAGACAGAAGGGGTTGTCAGTCAAAGCTATTAATAGCCACAGATGCCTACTCTGGAAGATAAACACAGAAGCTGGGTTTAATGAACTATTTCTAGGAAGATTGACGAAAGCTGGAATACTTGGTTTGGAAAGTAGACAGTAAGGGAAGCTAAAATGGGAAACTCCACAGAACTAGACAAGTGTGGACAGCTGCGCTGCCACCACTGGGCCAGGACAGCCCAAGTTGCCTAGTGGCCACTGCCAGGACTAAGCCCTGGACGGAGTCTCTAGCTTGGTACAAACTGCCCATCCCAGACAGGACTCTCCAGCAGCCCCGTTTCTTGACATCAGTTAGGGGAAATTATTTCTGATTTGCTAAGCAGTGGCCCAGGACAATAGCGCCAGGAACAAGACGCTTTACGGCAAGCAGCTGGCACTTGTAGAGTCTATCATGGGAAGCAGCCTCTGACTCGCCTTAGAACTCACCAAGCAAGGAAGATTCAGAAGCTGCACAGCTGTCTGAGTCCATTCAGGCTGCTCTACCAAAATACCGTCAATGGGGTGGCTTGTAAACAGATTTATTTCCCACAGTCCTGGAGGCTGGGAAGTTCAGAACAAAGGCTCCAGCAATTTCCGAGGCAGATGAGCACAGCTACTTGGCTCACAGACGGCCATATCCTCACACGGGAAAGGGGTGAGAGGGCTCTCTGGGGCCTCTTATTTAAGGACACTAATCCCATTCGTACAGGCTCTGCTCTCAGGATCTCGTCACCTCGTAAGGCCCTTTCTGATAGCATCACCTTGGGGGGTTAGGATTTCAACAAATGAGCTTGGGGGATAGAAATGCTCGTTCCATTGCCGCAAGCAGTGCTGTCACCAGGAGACATCTGCCAGGTTAATGGCCCAGAAGACTGGAGACCAGATGAGACCAGATGACGCCCAGATGTCTCATCCAGGTGGACTAGGGCCACGGCAGGGCCCTCAGAGACGGTCCTGGAGTGGTGGGAAAGGCTCAGGAGCCCCACGCGGGGTTCATCCTAAGAATCAAGCTCTGCGAGGCTCTGGGGGTGCTGGAGACAGTGCTCAAACAGGGGGCCTGCGGGGGGGGGGGGTCTGGAGCACTCCTGAGCTTCCGGGCCTGCTCAGAAACACACAGCCCCTGTCCAGGGTCCTCGCAGTGCCTCGCTGCTCTGTGCGGCCCTCTCCTAAAGCAGCCAGTAAGCGCTGGGTTCTGCTGGGGTCACTGAGGTATGTTCACATGTAGAATCCTACCGTGCCAGTGACCAGGAGCAGAGGCGGCTGTGGCAGCCTTACTGACGTGGGGTGCAGGGGTTAGGGCAGCTGGAGACCATGTTTACTGGGCATTCACTGTGCTACAGCAGTAAGAAGTAAGCCAGCTGCTGCGCGTTTACACACGATGTCATGCTAAGTGCCTGGCACCACTTGCTCCACGAGGACCCTCAGAACAACTCTCGAAGCTGAGGACTGTCATTCCTGCCTTCCAAAAGAGGATCTATAACCCTCTCTAAATCACCCCAGTAGTCAATTGAAAATTGGGATCCAGGCCCCAGTGTCCTTGATTCTCAAGCATACGTCCCTCCCAAGAGGCAGGTGCCCAGGCTGGAACTAGCCGCCAGAGCTTCCGCTGCCACCTCCAGAGCACCTGGGGAGGGAGGGAGGAAGGAAGTCCTGAGACTCCCTCCCAGGGGCCCTCCCCACAGCGTGTTCTAGGCCTCTTCCAGGAGAGCCCTGAGGGGCTGCCCCCTGCTCTGGGAAGGAGAGGGGTGATGGCTGAATTTACAGACCAAGGTCAGAGCTAACAAGATGTCGGGTCCTTTGGACTGGCCCTCCTGAGTTTCCTTTCTGGGAAGAGGGTGAATCTCCCAGGTGGGAGGGGAGCTCATTCCTGAGGCTGCAGCTGCCCACAGCTGGCTGTGCTGCTAAAAGCACTCAGGGCCTCTAAGCTCTTGGCTCATCACCCCAAAACTGCAAGCTCCACCCCAGACAGGCAGGCCGTTTGGCAGAAGGCTCAAGGGCAGAGCGTTGCAGGGTTCCCCAGGCTCCAGCACCTGTTCCAGCCCTGCTCCCTAAACTTGTCCACACTTGCAGGCTTTGTTCCTTCATTCTGGAGCCCCTAGGTTTAGTCAGGAGTCAAGAAATTTCTCAAACAGGCATGAATCACTTGTACAATGAGGGGCTGGATTAAACTGTACATATAGAAGCTAAAGGCACAGGTGTTATATGCCAGGTAGGGCTGCCTTCTCACTGTGCAGGGAGGGATCGTGTCCTGCTCACCTCTAGGTGTCCCTCTCAGCATGAGACCCAGTGGCAGGAACTCAGCTTCACAAAAGCTGTTTGCTCATTGTCTGGTGCCCAGAACAATACCTGACACATGGGGGGTGGGGGTTCAGTAACTATCCATTGCCTGAATGACTAAAGGGATGTGTATTTTGAAGAGAAGATGTGTGACATCTTTCTTTTCCACCTCCTCTTAGAGCGCTCCCCAAAACCCTCTTTAACATACCGGCCCTCCCCACTCCTGTAGTCACATGGCTCAGGCCTCAGTGTCCCCACAAGGTGTTCTGCCAGAAACTGCTAAGCTTTGTCAATCAGCGCCCCCACCCTCTGCAAGGAGTCCCGTGACAACCAGATAGGCTAGTTTCTCAGCAACTGTATTGAGTATGGGGAAGGGGCATTTCTGCCCACTGGGCATGTGTCCTCCCGCCCATACAAGAAGCGTTTAGGGACTGATGGGCAGACAGGAGGCGGGGCAGGGCAGGTGTCCATGGTGATGGGGCGAGGACACCAGGGGCAGCTCAGCTCTCTAAAGGGATGGGCTCTTGCTGCTCCTGGGGCTCCTGCTGGGGTTGCTCCTGGGGCTGCTCCTGGGGCTGCTCCTCGGGCTGCTCCTGGGGCTGCTCCTCGGGCTGCTCCTGGGGTGGCTGCAGCCCTGCTTCGGGAGCACCCTGCTCTGGGAGGACAAGGGTCAGGGGCTTGTCCTGTTTCTCTTTCTCCAGGGTGCTGAAGAAGGAGCTGACCTGGTCCCGCAGGTCCTTCTCCAGGAAGCTCAAGTGGCCTTCCACTTCCCCCGAGTATGGGCCCAGCTTCTGTCTGAGCTGCTCTATTTGCTGCACCAAGGCTGTGTTGAAGGTCTCCCCATAGGGCTGCACAGTGCGCTGGAACTCCTCCACCTGCTGGTCCAGGTGGCTGCTCAGCTGTGCCAGAGACTTCTGCAGCCCCTCGGTGTTGCCCCTCAGCTTGCTTTGGATGTCCTCCACCATGGGCGTGAGCCTCTGCTGCAGCTTGTCGGCGTTGGCTGAGATCTTGGCCTTGAGTTCCTCTGCATTCTTCTTCATCTGGAAGGCCAGGCCCTCGAGCTGGTGGTTGAGCTTCTCCTGAGCATCCTGCACATAAGGGGCCAGGCTGCGGCGCAGCTCCTCAACGCTCTGGTCAATCTTAACCTTGAGACCCTCAGTGTGGGGCTGGAGGCGCCCCTTGAGCTCCTGCACGTTCTTGTCGAACTTGGCCTTGAACTCGTCGGCATAGGGTGTCAGGGAGGCCTGCAGACTGCCCACATTCTCCCGCAGCACGGTCTCCATGCGCTGCACGTAGGGGTTCAGCTGGCTCCGCAGCTGCTCTGCCTGCTTGTTGACCTGGGTGTGCAGTTCCTGGGCATAGGGCCCCAGGCGCTGCTGCAGCTCTCGCACATTGTCCCCGATCTTCTTGCTCACCTCCTCGGCGTGGGGCAGCAGGCGGGCCCGCAGGTCCTCTACCTCCTTCTGAATCTGCTCCTTGACCTTCTCTGAGTCCTTGGTCAGGCGCTCATGCAGCTCTGTGGCAAAAGGCACCAGCTTCTTTTGTAGGTCACTGGCGTAGGTATTCACATCTCCAACTTTGTCCTGGAAGAGGGTGCTGCGGGGGAAGGGCACAGACAACCATGGTTATACCAGTGTTAACACACACCTCATACACGAGTGCACAGCTCAGGTGTTTGCCTAAGGGGTCCCGAGCTCACCTATCATTTTCCCTTGTGACCCTCTCTAGCTCGGGTCCTGGTATGAGGGAATGGTAACAGACTGTTACTACACTCAATTTCTATCTCTGCATCTCCCACCGAGTGTGAGTGTCATTATCCACCCATGTCAGGACCGCAAGCCATTCACTTTCCCTCCTTGGCGGTGAAGAATGGGAGCGGACGTGGAGCCCCCTGCCCCCAACCCCCACCCTGGGTGTGCTGTAGCAGTGGGCCCCTTGTGTCTTAGAGTGTTTTTGACCTCAGCAGCACAAGGCGCTGATTTCCTTGCATGTACCCAGAAGCTTCCCAAATACTTGACCTCCCTTCCCCCGATTTCATGGGTGTCTGCTTCTGGAATATATTAGAAGTCGGCCCATGTGACATTTTCCTCTCTCCTTTCCTTTCATGAGCCTCAGTGATACGATGTGCCTATTTGTCAAACTCTAGAACATTAAAGCAGGAAGATGCCGTAGAGATTATTTGGCACAACCTCCCTGCTTTTATCTGGATACAGATAGCCCAGGACCCCCAGTCAGCAGCAGGGCAGTGAGAATCCTAAGCGCTATGCCCCGCTTCTCTGCTCTCCCTTGCCGATGCTTGGAACGGTCTCTAAGAAGCCCTGCTCTGTAGGCTGTGCCACCCCACCTCCCTTACTTGAGCTTCTGGGTGATTTCTGACTTCTGCAGACGTTCCACAGCCTCCTTGGCATTGTTGCTCAGCTGGCTGAAGTAGTCCCATAGCACAGTAGCCACATGGTCAGCACTGACCTCTTCCCGGGCACCTGGGCAGTGAACAGAAAGAAATTCCTGCACACCAGTCTCTTCCCTGGACCCTCAGCTCCAGCTCGACAGTGAGGGTGCCCAGCCCACTTTCTGTCTCTGGGCTTAGCCTGGTAGCACCAGTGCTGGACTGTCTGCCTATGGCTGGGTACGTGCCAGCTCTCCTGCCAGCCGTGTGGTAGCTGGACAGACCCTGTGTCCAACCCAGGGCTGACGGCTACCCTGAAGCGCCTATTGGCCTTGGCCCGGCCTCTCCACCCTGCCTGCTCACTGCAGCAGCCCCAGACCCCATCCAAAGACGGCTTCTACTCACTGGTGACAGCCACCAGGGCCAGGCCCAGCACCACAGCCTTCAGGAACATCCTGGGCTCCTTGCTGGGCTGGAGGAGTTTCGGCACTCTGGGTCCTTCCTGGCGTCAGCGGAGGACGGGTCCTTGGCTCACCTGTGCTGCTGTGCGAACTGACTGGAGCCCAGAACAGCCAGGCATTTAAAGCTCCTCTGAGATGCCCTCTCCACCTCCCTACCCAGTGTGACTCCACGCTGGAAGGTGACACATTCCCGGGAAGCCTCTTGGACTTTCCTGACCCTAAGGCTACGTGGAAGCTGACGGCAGACTGCGGCTGTGGAAGCAGCGGAAAGTGGCCGATCTGGGCTGGGCCCCACCCAGGGCAGGAGGGCAGGAGGGGGAGCCATGAGCTGTGGGAGAAACGTGGCCCAGAGGAGCTCCAGAAGGACGATGCCCTGTGGCCCCTGCTGGCTGCTCTGGGTCTGTGCCAGGCTGTGGGAACAAGGTCCACATTTCCTCTGGCTGGCCGAGGGGAGACAGGCACCCACCCCCACAGGGCCGCCAACACAGACTGCATCCCAGAGCAGCAGACGCTGGCCGGGCCCACGTAGGGACGCAGACGGAGTCCTGTGGAGTTGTGCCCAAAAGGCGTTGTGCCCAGGAGATACCATGACAGCCTCTGGGCAGGTGATGGGATGGGCAGCGCCCTGTGCGGAAGGGGTTAATTGTAAATGTGCTTGGTGTTCCCTTGCCAAACTGTGCTGCCTTGTGTAGTTAACTCTTCAAAGTCCTGAGCCTCAGTTTCCTCTCAGAAGGGCGAGCTGGTGCCTGTGAAGCGGGCAGTATGGTGCCGGGCACGGAGTAAGCACTGAACACTAGTGCTTGTTACCAGTGACCGCAGTGTTTCCTGACTGGGACCAAGGCAGGAAGTGCAGTAGAGGGCTCCCCCTCTCTGAGCGTGACCAGATGGGCTAGAGGCAGGTGACAGGGTGGGGGCAGCCTGAGGCCTGGCTGAGACCCCAGCGGCACCCCGGGCTTGTGCAGAGCGGCCAGACCTGAGGCTCTCTTTGGCCTCTCCCTGGGATGGAGCGTGGCGGTGCTGCCGGGTCTTCTGCATACACGCCTTCCCGCACCTCCTGAGACGATGTCACCCCTGGGTACGTGGGGCTCCACTGGCCATACACCCCATGACTCGGTGAGAACACTACTTGCTGTGCTGCAGGCTGCTGCCCTGAGCGCCATGCTAGACATAGGTGGATGCCACGTCTTTGTACGATAAGAACCGTCGGAGCAGAAGGCAGCGTGCGAAGTCTGATTTACCGTTTCTCCTCCCCCTCCTCTTCCCGTTCTTTCCCCTTTGTTTTCTTCTCCCCCTGTTCCCCCACCCGCCGCCTCCTCTTCCTCTTCCTTCCTTTTCTTCTTCTTTTCTTTCTTTTCTTGTCATATTCTAGAAGTGGCTCAATGTCCTGTGAGTTGGAGACAGTGAAAAGGCCTCTAGCGCCTGCCTCCCTTACCCTGGGTGCCCACTACCCCACGGTGCTCCCCACATCGCCGTGGTCACCTCTACTGTCCAGGAGTTCACTCCTTCCAGGAGCAGCCCATGCCAGCTAAGGATTTTCTGAGTTCAAAAACTAGCATCTGAACCCCTGGGTTTGTGTCTAAGCTCCCCCTTGCAGTCCTGGGCGGGTCTCGTACCTTCTCTGAGCCCCAGTTCCTTCCATGGAAGGAACCCTAGTACCTGCCTCCCTCTCACAGGCCAGTGAGATGATTCATGTAATGCTCACGACAGTGCCTGGTGCCTTAGTAGGTGCTTATTAAGTGTTGGCCATATTTCGCCCTGAAAGGCCCACCTGCATGTGACACTGACACACCGGTCCTCATCCTGCTGCCAAATCAGGCCCAGTCCATCCTGGACTGGGAGCAAAGCTCAGCGCTCAGAGCCCAGCTCTTTCCCCCTCTGCCGGACAAGGTGGGGGTGAGTCATGAAGGACATTTCAGCTGCAGTCTGCTGACCTCCTGGACTTGCAGATGCTGCCAGCATGGGACAGGTCCGGGGGTGCCTCTGTGTCACCCGCTCATTGATTGTCCCTGCACTGGGAGGGTCTGGGTCCCCTGAGCGTGTCTAAGAGCTCCTGCCAGAATGAACAGGATTCACAGAACTGTGAAAACATCAAAACCGTCTGCGGCACAAAGATCGGCCGTAGGGCTAAGGGGTCAGTATAGCTGTGCACACACACACCCACACACATAGCACAGGGAGGGCGTGAGGCCAAGAATGCCGTCCTTCGCCCCGGGGCCTGTGTGCTGTGCGTTCCCACCTGTGAGTGATTTGTGCTGGCCCGGGAGCGACAAGAGCACAGCGCCTGTGCTGTGAAAGGAAAGGGCAAACTCTGCCTTCCCGCCGGGCACGGTCCTGTGAGTTGGAATGCAGGCCCACAGGGTCTGTATAATGTAGCCAGTCATGTCCCTCTCTGAGCCTCAGTTTCCTTGTCTGTGCTCAGACGGGCTTCGTGGCTGGTGAGGCAAAGAGGCTAATAGTCTGACGTGACCTACAGCTGCCCCTCCTGTCTGCACAAGGGAGTGAGGCTGGGGTCAGTCCAGAGGCCAGCATTAGGAGCAGACAGCTCAGACCCAAGGGACAGGATGGGGGGGCCGCATAGACCTGTGTCACATAGCCACATGTCCCCAAATCAGCTTCACGCTAGCCCTCCTTCTGGGGCAGAAGTAAATGGGGGAGAACCTGGGTGGGACCCTACAAAAAGCTTGCCGCACAGAAAGGCGGATTGAAGGGCTTCTGGCCGGCAGGGCTGAATGAGACCAGGCCCAATCGGTGGTAAGGGCGTGGGCCCAGGGACTCATGAACCAAAGCTGCCCTGGACACACACAGAAGCAGAGGGAGAGGATGTCCTCAGCCCCAGCCCGTCAGGCCCCCTCCTTCCCCTTCCCACCACTGGCTCCTTCCCAGATCTGGGGAGCCCATTTTTCCAGGGGAGACAGGAGGGTGACAGACGCAGCTTAGTCAGGCCCCTGAGAGGGCCCCATTGAAGCCCTGGCTGGCCGGCTGGGAGGGGCACAGGACTTTGAAAGACATCAGATCCCAGGAGTCACCGCACACAGCGCACCAGCTACGTGGGCACGCACCAGGGTTCATTCAGCCAGGCACCACCCCTGAGGTTCTCCACCCACATTTCCGACCGCCTGGTGTCAGTGGCCTCGTGCTGTGCAGGAGGGAGGACAGGTAGACAGGGACCTGGCCAGCCCACCTTGTGCCACCTCTAATAATATCCCCATTGTGCCCTTTGCCTCTGGGGTGAGAAGCAGGCTAGGCAGAAGAGGGAAGTAGCCACCGTGACCCCTCTGCACACCCCAGTGTGCAAATTTCCCAGGATTCTTAGCCCCCTTCCTTCCTCTCCACTCATCCCCACATCTGTTCTCAGAAAGTGAGCTAGACTGGATTTGCTCTGTGGTGTGAGTGGCTCTTCCGTCTCTGGGGGAGGTCTCACCTTCTCCAGTCTGTCTGGGTGTCCATAGCCTGGGTGTTTAAAGACCTGATTTCTGCCCTACAATTTCCAGCTCTGTGCATGTGGGTAGGTCTCTCCCTATTTGAGTCTCAGATTTCTTACCTATAAAATGGAGTTAATGTTTAATCCACAGGGTTCTAGCTACTTGTATTTTATTATTTATTTATTTATTTATGTCTATATGTTTGTCTTTTTGAGACAGGGTATCACCATGCAGTTCAGGCCGGCCTTGAGCTTACTTTGTAGCCCAGGCTGGTCTTGAACTTGCAACAATCCTCCTGCCTGGGCCTCCCAAGTGCTGGGATTACAGGTGTGCCCCACCACGCCCGGCCACTGACTACTTGCATTTTAACAGAAAACAAAGTCTTCAGCAAAGGAGTGAATCCCCAATAGAGAAATTTCAGGTTTCAGCTATAAATAAAGAGCGCTGAGGGTAGGGCCAGGCCACTTTCTTGGGACTCTGGCTTCACGCTGTTGGGTTAACTTCCTCTTCCTGGAAGGACCGCTGTCTGCCAAAAGCCCTATTTCTATGCGGCTGGCTCCTCCTGCCTTAAACTGGACTGTCTGGGGAAGGACACTGCGCTTGGAAGGGAGATTGGTGAAGCCCCCCACGGACCAGCTCTTTGCAGGATTTCCTTCACTTGTCTCCGCAACTCTGGAAAGTCAGTATTGGATTCCCATTTTACAAAGCAGAAAATTGAGTCTCTGGGATTAGATCTCCGGCCATGGGTCACATGAGTGACAGGTAAAGGCATCGCTGGAAGCTGGGGTTTCCTGGCTCCAAAGTCCCAGCTCCCAGAAGGGAAGGTCTCCGACACAGTCATCCTCGCGGTGGCTCTCAGTGGGAGCTCCAGGAACATCTTAGCCCCAAGAAACCAGGGCAGTGCCTGCCCCCCAGTCCTCCTCTGTGCCCCTGTGTCCCGGCCTCTGGTCTCCCCACCCCTGGCTTCTTCCAGATACCATGTGGCCAGAGCCCAGGGGAGAGGCCTCTCCCGACCACCTGGGTGGGGGAGGTCCCAGCCAGGAACATGTCTCCTGCCCTGGGGATGTTATCAGCGGGTCCAGAGGACAAGGTAAGGGGCACAGGAGGAGGGGTGGACGGAGACCTTGGGCTCAGAGCGCCCTTTGCCCTTCCCCCAGCCAACCCCTGCCCTGGCTCAGCTGCTGGGAACACAGTGTGATAGAAGCCCCGAGGAAGAGGTGCTGGGGGGCCGCGTACCTCCCCAGCCACAGGCCCTGCCCCCTGCTCTTCTTTGCTGCCCTCCAGATACGCCACCCGCCCTCTGAGTGGCTCTCAGGTCTGAGGAAGAGGCTAGCGCGGGGCTTGGCAGGGTAGCACGCGCCCGACTCTCACATGTGGAGGGCTGATGTGGCTCTGAGGCCCCTGGCTCATCCCCCAAACCCTCTCCCTTCTCACCAGCCTTCCTGGGGAGTCAGTCTGTGGGAAGGAGTGGGGTCTCCCTAGACCTGCCCCAGGAGCTGACTGTGTGGCTGTGGCATGGGAGGGAGGAAAGCAGCGGGCACAGCCCCAGGGATCCCTGCCGCCTTGGCAGCAGGTGCAGCTGGTCTCCCTGCCTCAGGCCCTGCTCTCCACTGTCAGCAGGTGACCTTTGCCCCGCTCACTGGTCCCTCCAAGCCTGCTGTCTGGCCTCGGGGACAATATAAAACAGGTCGGAACCCTGTTGCCTGCCTACTCAGTTCATCCCCAGAAGCAGCTACTCCAGGTAATGCCCTCGGGGCGGGGAGGTAGGGGGTGGCCACGGAAGGCTCCCTGTGCCCAGCCAGCAGGCCTAGAAGACAGCTTACAGGCGACCAGGAAGCCACGGGTGGCACGAGTGTCCCCCGTCGCCGACTGCCCTGGGGAAACAGAGGCCCAGGAAGGGGAGGTCAATTGCCCGAAGCCCCATACAGGGTGGTGTCCAGGCTGGACTGGAACTGGCCCCCACACTGCACCTCTCTCCTCTCTCTGGGAGAAGCCTCTGACCCTCAGTCCTAGCCCAGGCAGGAAGCTGAGGCTTCATTCCCAGTCTGGGGGGGGCCGTCTCTGTGCACCCCTACCTGGCAGCCCCTGCTGACGGCCTCTTCGCCCTTTCTCCTGCTGACCCACCCTGAGGGCTCGGAGACGGGGGATGTGGGGAGCCTTCACAGAGCTCTTCCCTGCAGGAACAGAGGTGCCATGCAGCTCCGGGTGCTGCTCGCTGTGACCCTCCTGGCACTCCTGGCCTCTGCCCGTAAGCGCTTTCTGGGGACCAGGCTGGGGGCAATGTGGGAAGTGGTTTGGGGCTCCTGTGCCCTGTGAGCGGTGGCCAGGTGGGAGCCAAAGGGCCCTCTGGGCTGAGCCACCCCTGCTCAGCCCTGTTTTCCCGGCAGGAGCTGAGGAGACCGAGGAGGCCTCCCTCCTGGGCTACATGCAGGGCTACATGCAGCACGCCTCCAAGACTGCCCAGGACGCACTGAGCAGAGTGCAGGGCTCTCAGATGGCCCAGAACGCCAGGTACGCCCACTGGGCCTCTCCTCCTGGGCCTCTGTGCCAGCTTCCTCTGTTCCCTGCCCTCCCCGGGCAGGAGCTTCGGTGACTAGAGTGTGACTCTCCCAGCCCAGCCCAGGCCTGCGCCTCCCTGAGCCTCGCTGCTCCCTCACCGCGGGCCGGGGGCCAAGGGAGAGAAGACAGAGGTGGGGTCCCCTCCCCCGCTGCCCTCCTTCCTCCCCGCACCGCTGTAAGGCAGCCCACCTTAGCCCTCACTGCCATGTTCTTCTTCTGGTAGGGCTAGAGGGTCATCAGCCTCGGCCTGGGGCAGAGGGAGGGCTGTGTTTCACTCTGTGGCAGGCCCTGAGGTTGGTGCAGGCAGAAGTCTGTCCAGGCTTTCCCGGCCTGTCCTGCCCAAGAGTTCTTAGCTCTCCCTGCTCCCTGGCTGGCTTCAGCCGGCCTTCATGTGGCAGAGGCCTTGGCAAATGCTGCCAGTCCTCAGGACGGGCTGTGGAGTCGGTATTATTTTCCCCACTTTGCAGAAAAGAAAGTTGGGGCTCAGAGGAGTTAGGGGACCTGCCCAGATTATGTAGCTAGTCAATTCCCCTGTCATTTTTCAAATGGGAGGGAGCTGGCTTCCCTACCACTCTGCCCCACCACTCAGGCCCCCCAGGGTGCACAGCACCAGGGGACAGCAACTGCCCTGAAGGCAAGGCAGCCCTGACCACGCACATCTCCCAGCCGCCGTTTTGTGCCTTGGGCCCAGGGACGGTGGGAGTGGGGCTGGGGCAAAGATCTGACCCAACCTGGAGAAATACGGGGTTAGACTGTGCTGGTTCCCTTCACCACCTCTGCATTTCTTCCACCTGCGGTGGCAGCTGCTTGTGAGGACTCAGGGGCATTGCTGGGTAAGACTGGTGGGTAAGACCGGGGAGACCAAGAGCTAGGACGAACTGGCACAGCCACCTCTATCACTGACTCTTTCCGATTCCCCGCCAGGGGCTGGGTGAGTGACGGCTTAAACTCCCTGAAAGACTACTGGAGCTCCTTCGCGGACAAGTGGTCCGGGTTCTGGGACACCACCTCTGAGAAGGCCAAACCAACCCCGGCCCCCGAGGGCATCTGAGCTCTCCAGGTTCCAAGTGCCTGTCCACCCACCCTGCCAGCTCCTGGGTCCTGTGGCCTCCCGGGCCGCCCCCTGAGTTTGCTTGAAAGGGACAGGGCTCTCGGTGCCTTCCCAGCCCTCCCCAGACCTGGCCACCTCCAACCATGCTGCCTCCCAATAAAGCTGGATGAGAAGCTGCCATGAGCGGGCATCCCTCATGTGCCATGTATGAGTGGGCCTGGGAAGAGCTGGGCCTGGGCGTGTGGTCTCCGAGCCCGAATTTCTTCATCTGTAGGGTAGGAAGAACCTTTTTGCCCTGCTTGCCTTGACAAGCTGGTGTGAAAGCTCACATGGAAGGACAGCTTTGATGAAACTGATAAACTGTCAAGTGCTGCACAGCATGACTTGAGTGTGTGTTCCATGCTGGGTTGGCCCTGCTATGGCATCAGAGCTGAGACCGTGTTTGTTCACCAACATTGAACCACTGACTCACATTCCCCAGGCCACGGGGGGCCTCATAAGCACAGCCGGCAGAAGTGGGTGGGATGGAGGGGTAAGATTCAACGAGGCTCTGGTCTTGGCTCCACCACTTCAGGTCAGCTTCAGTTTCTGATCTATCAGATGGGCACAATGATGCCCCTGAAGTCAGGTGTGATGCTGCACGCCTGTAATCCCAGCACTTGGGAGGCTGAGGCAGGAGGATCACAAGTTTGAGATCACCCTGGGCTACACAGTGAATTTAAGGCCAGCCTGCACTTCCTCAAGAAACCAATTATAACAATAACAATGAGCCCACCCCCTCCACTGTAGGGCTGTAGAGAGAATGCAGTGGCAGTGTTTAAAAGCAGCTGCACCAGATGCCTGATCACGGACAGGGATTGTCGGTGACGGCTGACCTGACTGGCTTCTCAGGAACAGGACAGGAATGGGACCCAGCATCCTGGGAACGGAGAAGGAACACACAGTCTCCCAGCAGGGCTTGTTCTCTGTGTCCCCACCTCCCACAGAGACTCACCTCGGGAGCGCAGAGTGGACCTCCCACTCTCAGATGACCTGGCTGAGGTTTAGAAGGGCGAGGGCACTTGCTCAGTGTCGCAGAGCCACCAAACGGCAGGCAGAGCTTGAGCCCTCAAGCCCAGCTCAGCTGCCCACATTCTGCTCAGCTGATACAGAAAAGAATGTCTCTGCGAGTCCTCCGCCCACCGCTGGGGTCCTCTTCCAGCTCTTGGTGGCACTGGTGCAACCAGCCCTACCTGGGCCACTTCCTCTTCAGTAATCCACTTGGTTTCTCTTCCTGCCCACTAGAGCCAGGGGTCTCAGCGCCCACACCTGGGAAACGTCCCCACCCAAATCTGACTTAACAGCAAGCATAGCTCTGGATGACTAGAAACTAAAACACCCACTCCTTTATTCAAAGGGTCACTAAGACACCCTGGAGATGGGGAAGGGACAGAGCATCCCGAGGCCGGCACCATGGGAGAAAGGCCCTGCTGGGGTGGGGAGGGTAGAAAAGGTACTTCCCGGCTCTGGGAAGGACACATGCACGCACACGGGGACACGTAGGTGAGCATGGGGAGAAGACACAGCTCCCAGGAGGGATGTCTGTGTGAAAATGTGTGTGTATGTGCACACCCATATGAATTTGAGTGCCTGGCCATACATTTAAAAATAATAATCATAGGCTGGGCATGGGGACACCTGCCTATAACCCTGGCACTTGGGAGGCTGAGGCAGGAAGATAACTACAAGTCTGAAGTCAGCATGGGCTCTATAGAGAACTCAAGGCCAGCCTGAACTACACAGCGAGACCCTGTCTCAAAAAAAAAAAAATGTCCATGGGCAGGTGGGTCTCAAATAAGCAACCCAGACCATCTTGTCTTTCACTCAGCAGTGACTGCACAGCTCCAAGTTCTGCTTCACCTTGGCGACCTCGATCTAATGATAATCAACTCAGATTTCAGGAAGATGCACTGAGATGATGGCTATAAAGGCATCTGGGAAGTGAAAATGTACTAAATACCTGCCAGAGGCAGTGTTTGTGTTTCTGACTCAGGCCCGAGCTGGCAGAAGATGGGTGGCAGCGCCTGGACCTACATGGGCTCAGGGCTGGCCCCCAAAGCTGTGCCTGCTTAGCAGTGGGGGGAGCAGGAAAGGGGCTCTGCTCTTGCGAAAAAGGAAAGGGAAGTATCTAAGATTTCAAATTCATAAAGGATGCAGGGCCAAGCGCCATTTGTGCCCGCCCAAATCCTTCAAGCTCTAGCGGCTCCTTGAGGCTCACTGCATCTGGCTTAGAGCCCGGAAGCTGGAAGAAGCTCCTGTCTTATGCCCAGGTGTACAACTCACTGCCCAGGCCCACAGGGGACCACCTCTGGGACAGGGCACCACTTAGCCCAGCAGAGACAGGTTCCAGCCGTTAGGCTTCGCGCCCCTGCAGGGCACTTAGTGCTGGGTGACTTGTCACTCTGCCTGACCCTGTTACGTCCTTTCTATCCGAGCCACGTTGGGACAGGGGGTCTGCTCCCTGCTGTTAACCAGCGGGGCGCCCTGCAGGGCCTCCAGCATGGACAAGGCCCTGCAGAGGCTGAGCCTGGCTCACCATTGCTGAGTCCAGACAGGAAGGCTGTGCTGCGACGCCAGTCTCCCACCCGATCCCTTGGTTGTCCCCTCCGGCACCCCACACCCTGCTTCCATTTCCCGCAAAAGAAAGAAGCTGTTTCCCACTCTGGAAATGTTTATTCTAAGAAAGTGAAAGCTGGGAAGGGGAGGAGGCAGCGGCAGCCGAGAGCACCTCATTGGGCGGTGAGCTGCTTGGTGGCCTGGTCGATGGAGCTCAGGATGCTGGCCTTCAGGCTCTCCAGCACGGGTAGCAGGCCCTGGCGAAGGTCCTCCAGCGCGGGCTTGGCCTTCTCGCTGAACGTTTTCAGGTGCTCACTGGCCTTGGCCTGGTAATCAGCGAAGGTGGTGCTATCCCTGAGCGCCTCGAGCCGCTGGGTCAGGCGCTGGCGCATGTCGTCGCTGTAGGGCGCCAGCTGCGTGCGCAGCGTGTCCACGTGCTCGCGCGCGCGGTCGCGGAGGTCCTCGCCCAGCGGGGTCAGCTTCTCCTGAAGTTCCTGCAGCTTCTGGCGAGCGCCTTCGCGCAGTTCGGTGCCCAGGGGCCCCACTTTCTCGCGATAACGCTCCATCTCCTCCTGCATCTTCTTGTGGAAGTTGTCCAGGTAGGGCTGCACCTTCTGCTTCACCTCCTGCAGATCCTTGTTCATCTCCTGCCTCAGCCACTCTGTGTCTTTTTCCAGGTTGTCCCAGAACTCCTGAGTCACCGGCCCAAGATCTGCACGCAGCTTACTGAAGGTGGTGCTCAAGGTGTCCCAATTGTCCAAGAGCTTCAGGCTGGAGGGAGAGAGAAGGTGGCTGAGGGGCAGCCTGCCAGGCACCCCGGTCTGCCTGGGATCTGCCAGCCCGGGCATCACCTGTGCTGTGTGTGCAGCAGCTGGGTTCCTGGCCTTCCCCACGCACACTTGAACCCAACATTCCCACCCTTTGTCCCATTGTACAGATGCCCTGGGCACAGAGAAGCGCTAGATGGACCCAGAGCTGGAGTTGGTGCCCACCCTTGAAAGACATTCGCGTCTTTCTGAAGGGGCTTGCTTGCTGGTGCTGGGGTTGCTGATTTCTGCAGGGCCTGTGAACCTGCCTGAGGACCGTTTCTCTGAATCGCCATCCATACCCGCTATAGTCCCAGCACATTCAGTAGCAGGAGCGGATTTGGCCAGTCCAGCCAACTTTCTGCCTCCTGGCCCTTCCCCTGCCCCGGGCCCTTCCCCTGCCCCGGGCCCAGCTTAGGTCCTTACTTTAGGTGTTTCCCCAAGACAGAGGTTTCCAGCTGGGCCACGTAGTCTCTGCCGCTCTCTTTGATGGCATCCACATACACAGTAGCAAAATCCTTCACGCGATCCCATGGGGTCTGGGGTTCATCTCGCTGCCAGAAGTGCCGAGCCTGGCTCCCTGGGGAGGGAGAGGAGACCCAGGTCAGGCCAGCTCTCTGCTGGGATCTGGGACTAGGAGAGGGGCAAGCGGGAAGCTCTGCTCCCTGTGCCCAGCAGGATGGGCCACCAGGGCCTATGGAGAAGGCCCCTGGTGTTTGGCTCCCTGGGCTGGGGGCACCTACCAGTCAGGAAGAGCACAGCCACGGCCAGCACCACAGCTTTCATCCTGCAGGGCGTGGGTGACCTGGAGGAGAAGAGGGCTTGGCTAAAGGGGCGCCTCTAGCATGAGGAGCTTTGTGCTCCCCCACACTCCAGCCAGGGAGGAGGACGGACCTAGAGTGGGGCAGGGTCCCAGGAACGCAGATCCCTGGCTGGGCAGAGCCAAGCATCAGTTTCCTGGAGCTGGAGAGCCAGGGCAGCCTGGGGCAGGGAGCACACTTACCTCCCTGGAGCTCCTAGAAAAGTCCCTGAGCTAGTCTCTCAGCGAGCATCCAGCCCTCCCGGCCTATTTATGTCTCCAGGCAGGGGCTGGGCTGGAAGGCTGATAAGCCCAGATGAGCCCTGTCACTGCTCACTGGTTCTGGCGATGTGGAACTGAGAGTTCAAGGATCAGCTCTGTCCCTGGGCCGGGCAAATAGAATGGGCAAACAGGAAACTGCGGGGGCTACAAGGCAGGGGTCAAGGGTTTAGGAAGGGGCAGGAAAGAAGTGGTTGCAGGTTTGAGGATCCCTGGTCAGTCAGGGCGGCTGCACCCACCCCCCTTCCCTGTGGGAGCACATGCCATTGTTCCTCGTGGGGGCAGGAGAGGAGGAAAGGGACCTGGGACTCCGCCACAGATCTCCTCCCGGCCGACTTCTTGCATTCCAGGGAGATTGACTGTTTACAGGTCTCAGGGCCCTGCCCCTCCCCCTGCCCCCAACACCGGCCTCCTGTGGTCCCCAAGGTGCGGCACGCCTCTGTCTGCCCTCCACAGGCCTCCCAAGCCTTAAGTCCAAGAGAACTGGGGTGCCAGGGAGCTGCCTGGGGAGAAGACAGGCCAGAGGCTCGGACCCCCAAACTGAAATCACAGACACTCATTTCAAAACAAATGCTAGAGACCGACACGGAGTGGCCAGCTTTTAATTTTGTCCTGTAAAGATGTTATCCCCGCCTCGCCTCAAGGATGACCTCACCATCTACTGTGACCTTGGCTTCAGAAAGATGTCCAGCAGCCAAAAAGGCATAATCTCAGGGGTAAAGCACAGCGTTTATTCTCTCACGTTGAAGACTTATGCCTTCTCATTGTGTGTGTGTGCGTCATATCACACACGGTCAGGGTGGATACCAGCTCCTGGAAGCCCCCATGTGGGGAACGACCCTTGTGCGGCTCTGGTGGCAGGAGACTGGCTTTTCATTTCATTTTGCCAGCACCTCGCTGGAGGTGGACGGTGAGCAAGTTAGGTGCTCTGAGTCTCCATTTCCTTTCAGCAAAATGGATTTAAGAATGGTCAGTGGTGTTGGTCTCTCCCGAGAGAGCCTGTGAATGCAAAGTACTGTGTACTGGTGGATGTGAGCAGCACCATCTTGCAAGGTTTCTCTCGGAAAGCCCAGGCCCTCTCACCAGGTCACTGGCAGAAGGACCTGGTCACAGAGTCTGTGAATGTCCAAGCTGAGAGGAACTTTAAACCCAATTATTCTGGCTTGTCCCTACCCTGCCGGCTTCCAGATGAGAAACTGAAGGGATTTTCTTAACATATCTCATCCTTCAGAGTTGGAGGCCAGGCTGGACCTAGAACCCAGGTCTCTAGACTTGGGACCCAGGGCAGAAATGTGCCCCACACCATCTCTCTTGGAAACTCCCTACCTCTCTAGAAATCAGCCTGTTGTGTTTATTTGCCAGATCTGGGCGTGGCTGGGTTGCAGGCCTCTCCCACTCTGGCTGGTCTCATGCCTTTTGTGTGAGAAGGCTTTGACCAGAAAACCCTAGGTTTGAATCATGGTCTCTGTGACCCTTACTCGCCATATGACGCGGGGCAAGGTACATAACCTTCCCACATGTGTTTCTTATCTGCTAAGATAATGATAGAACATGCCATCTCTTAAAGTTATAACAGGGACTGTTGTGTGGTAGGCAGAATAATGGCCCTCCAACGATGGGCACATCCTAAGACTTGGAATCTGTGACTAATCTTACTTGGCAAAAGGGTTTTTTGGTCAACGTGATTAAGGACTGGAGCTGGGGTGGTTAGCCTGGATCATCCAGGTGGGCCCACCGAAATCACAAGCGTCCTTTAACATGCAGGAGAGAGGCGGGGAGACTCAGAGGTCAGAGCGTGTGAACGCTGGAAGGGGGCCACAGCAGCTCTGCCCTAGAAGCTGGAAGGGGCAAAGGGCCAGATTTCCTCCTAGAGCCTCCAGAAGGAACACACCTGCACTGACACCATGATTTCAGCCTAGTGGGACCCATGTTGGACCTCTGACCTCCACAGCTATAGTGGATTCGTGTGGTTTCAAGCATGACATTTGAATATGTATGCAAAATATTAGCAAGGTAACTAGCAAGGTCACCTTTACTGGTTTACTAAGGTAAAGAGTATTCTGTCTCCCTGAATCTTGGTTTCTGGACTCTATTCCCTTACTGCCACGAACACACTTGTACTGCGAGCCCTTAGCTGGCTGCCCCAGGCCTCAACTCCCAGCAGCACAAGCCAGGGCAGGCAGGGAAGTCCACATTGCTCTGCTTGGCCTTGCTTGCAGGTGCCAAGATGCGGGACACCTTTCCCAGCACAGAACCAGCTCCAAATGCGCAGAGAGGGACGTGGTCTGCTACTGGCTGTCCAACCTGTCTGTGGTTCATGGAGAGGGAAGGAGGGGGCCCCCTGGATCTCAGGCCAAGAGCAGTTCCTCTCTCTCGAGGGCCAGAGCGCATCCCAGCAGTGTGTGGGGGATCTCAGCCGCGTACTTGTTCGACTACAGGCTCCTTGCTGCTGTCTTACCTTCTCTTTGGTTTGCTACTGAAGTTATTATGGCTAAGCCTAATATCCAACATTCGCCAGCACTTTGGTGGCTGAAGCACTTTCAGTTAACTTATGTTCCTGTAAGGCTGGAGGCCATTTCCACCTTGCGCTTTTGGCTATCAGCAAATTAGCTCAGAGCTACTAAGGGCTTCCTGACCTCCTTCAGCTGTTGGAACTGGGCGCTGGCAGGGCTGGGAGTCAAGGAGGCCTAACTTCTACTTCTTTGATGGTGGCCTATTGGCTTCTGCTAGCCTAGCACTGTCTTCAAGTACATCTTGGTTTCTTGGTTCAGGGGTTCTAAGGCGCTGGGTGGAGGTGCTGTGTGACAGGCTGTTATCATGCAGAAGTTTCCTTTTTAAATATACTTACGCAGTATGATCAAAAATACGGTGAACACTTAAGAAAATTTATTACAGTAAGACACATTGCCGTTAATCGCCCTCAAACTCTTCCTTTTTTTTTTTTTTTTTTTTCTTCCCTCTTTTTGAGTACACTTATCTTATTGCTCTTGTCACTTTCTGAAGCAGTTCCGGAAGTCCACTTTTGTGGCTGTCTTTCGTTGTACTGTTGTGGCTGCTTAGATGTCCTGAACTGATTCAAAACGTTTGCCTTTCCTTGTCAGTTTGACTTCGGAGAAGAATCAGAAATTGCATGGCTCCAGGTCCAGCGAATAAAGTGGCTGAGGTCACACCATCATGTTTCCGTGAGTCTCTGCCTCTCCATTGGATGGCACCTGGCGGTAGCAGTCACTACATGTTTGATCACATCTCATAAAGACACCAAAGAGGACTTCCAGAACTCCTGCAGGAAGTAACAGGAACTATGGGCTAAGTGTGTCTGAAGCAGAGGGAAGTATTCTGAGGAGGATTAATGGCACTGTCTTTTACTGTAATCAAGTTTAGACATTCACGGTGTATTTTGATCACACCTCTATTCACTAGTGCTGCTCCATTTTATTGCAAAATATTCAGCTTAAATTCCTCCCCAAACCTCTTTTCCATTGTAGAAAGAAAGGAAGGCTTCCAAGAGATGGAGGGAGAGAAGGGAAAGTAGAGAATTAAAATGTGTTATGTACATGTACCAGCTCCCCACAGTGAATGTAATCATTATGCCCTGCAAATTAGTACCAATAAATATTTTTTTAAATTTTAACTAAGGCAGGCAGGCTTATGGGAAAACTAACAAAAAACTGGCTCCTCACAGAATCAGACTTAGGGTCCAGTTACAAAGGTGTCAAGTGCCCAGAGATTGAGCTATTTAGTGGCTCCAGGGCCTATCAATGTGGTCCCACTTCCCTCTTTCCCTTACCTTGGGTGCCTCCAGAGCAAGTACTTCTTTATCAGGCCACTGAGCACTGGCCCTAGATCCCAACATATGTGGGGCAGCCGGCAGCTGCTGCAGATTTTGTTAGAATCACTAGCAACCTATTTTACAATTTTATGTCCCAACATACAGGTCAGTCTGCATGTAGGAAGACTGCTTCTTGCCAGGCCTGGTACAAGACACCAAATATTTGCTCAGTGAATGTGAGTGACATTGGCACACTAAAGGCAGGCTCACCAGACTGGCAAAGGGTCACAGGAAGGGCACGAGACTCCAGACAGGAATATTCAGCCTCATACCACTCTTGTCAGAGCCCCCACTTTGCATGACCCTCCTGCCCTCCTGGCTCAGGAGAAAGGCGAGGCCAGAGTTCATCTTTGACCAGCCTGAGGGAGGCATGGCTCTCCCTGGATTCTTATCTTTGCAGTTGGGTTGGGGTGGGGTCTGGCAGGAAGTCAGAATGAGGACCAGTAAAGATCGGTCACACAGCTTCTCCTTTCTGGAGCCCAGAGATCTGCGGGTCTCGATAGGAGGTGGTAACCTGGCTTCCTCCTGAAGCCCACACTACCCCTAGCCCAGCGGCCCCCTGGCTGACTTCAGAGGGCTGGCAGGCACCTGGGTGTATCACTGGTTTCAGACTTGCCTGAGTGTGTACACATCCAGGACTCCTCAAAGACTCTTCCTGTTGTAAACAGTCCCACAGCGACTTTCTAGTCTTCTCTGGGCCCCCACGGCTTCCCCTAAGTTCCCTCCTCTCTGTTCTTCCTGCACACCGAGCATTCCCAGCTTCGATAGCTTTCTCCACAGAAGGTAAGCCATGCCCGGGACCTCGCTGGAGATTCTACTCTGCCTTTTGGAATCCAGGTGTGGGAAAAGAAAATTACTGGTGAAGTCCCCTTTTGGTCCTATCACTTATTTGGCCAGCATGTCATGAGGCTAGTGGGGACCCCAAAAGGCTCCAGCTGGTGGGTACTTTCCAAGGCTCTTCTTTCCACTTCTTCAGAAGGGAGGTGTTTTGCATCCAAGTCAGCAATGTAGATGCTCCCTTGCAAGGGAACAGAGTCTGAGCTGGGGAACACAGTGTGAAGCTGAGTGAGGTTTCTAGAGAATGCCAGGTCCACAAGGCAAGGCAGATTACGACCTGCTCAAAGCCTCACCCTAGGCTCCGTGACATCACCAGCTTCAGCGTTCCAGCTTCCACCCACCTGGATGCTTCTCCCATCTAGACTCTGAACCATGAGGCAAATAACATGTCAGCATGAGAACATAATCAGATTTTATTTTCACAACCTCCTACTGTCCAGCCAAGTTACTAAGTTATAAGTGCCCCACACAAACAAGGACAAAAGGTCTTAGCAACTTTGAGTCTGGAGATTTTGTAAAATCCTTTAGTTCAACATAAATGAGAAAGAAAAAATACTTCTGACATTTTCCAAGAACAGAAATAGGAAAGTATATTCATATACATTCAACATATATTGCGGATGTCGGCTACTACAATACAAAGCAACGTCTTTAGAAGAGTAGTTTGCAAGATGGCACGGTTAGTAGGCTCACTGGCGTTCATCTGCGCGGTTGCTGGGGGGTGGCAATCTGCTCTTCAGTAAGTCAGTTCCATGTAAACAGATCAAGCTGAGTGTGAGGAAGCAGAACGGCAAGTCGGGACATCAGAGCTGGAACAGGTCCAGGGAGCCAACAACAGCTTCTAGGGCTTACTCCGTTAGTAAGCTCCCTTCTAGTGAGTAGCTGGCGACCCCACCAAGGGGAGGGGAGGTGGGGGCCGTAGAAATGGGGCAGATCACCAGAACAGTTCTTGCATTGCAGAAATGCACTTGAGGGACAGTGGGCGCTGCAGCTGAGCTGCTGGTTTCAGTGGAGGACAACCTGCATAGGAATCCGGCCAGCAACGTCAGGATGGCCCCACTGGACACCCGCTTTCTTCTGTGCAAATTCAGGACGAAAGAGTACGAGGCGGCGAGGGACCTTTCACTCTCCTTTCCCAGAAAAAAGGGTCAAGAGTTAGTACAGGTAACGTCTCTCTCTGGTTTTGAAGATCAGAAGGAGATAACTCAGATCCTCTGTCAGCCCCCAGCCAGCAGAGAAGACTTTGGTTTCTAACAGTGAAGAGAAATAAAGGTAATGGGATAAACAAGAGCTATTGCGTATGCGCTGCTTCAGCTGGGGGAAGGGACCACTGCATCTGTCACTGGCACAAGAAAGAGCGGCTCACAGTTACAACGCCTGAAGAAAATGCTCTGAACAAAAGGTGCAAGTCACAATTCAAATAGAACAGAATCTGATTAAATACTCTCTTTTAAACAAAAATTCCTTTTGTCTTTAATAATAATAACAATAATATCGACATTCACCAAAAACAATCCCTACATAATGGAGAATTAAAGGGGCTGCGGATGCTCAGGGAGGAGGAAGTTGAGAGAGACAGGACCCACTGCAACCTCCTGTTCCTCTTGCTTGTGACAAAAAGGTTGCAGGGAAAGGCATACGTGTCAAAACATCCTCTGCAGAGCACAGTGGAAAATGAGAATGAAAGGTGACACAAAAAGCACAGTACAGCACTGCTGGCTTTCAGCCCAGGGGTAAACCAGCAGGACGGCAAAGGCAACCAACTCTGCAGGTTGCTGGAGGGGAGCTGAATTATATGCTGAAGAGGCTCAAGCTGAGACCTAGCTGGCAGCCTGTTGGAGCCAGGCCACCGTCAACCTCTATGCTGGGCCACAAGTGTTTTGATGGATCCCAGCAGTAGAGAAGACCTCCAGGTTCCAGGCTTGGGGTAATCTCGGTCTCTGTCTCTCCTCTCTCTTTTGCTAAGGACCAGACACCATCACCTCTGCTCCTCCCCTTTGTTCTGCCACCGAGGTCGCAGAGATGTTCTCTTCTGTTTGTACCCATGGAGGAGCAGGCAGAGGAACAGAGGGCGCTCTGATGAGCAGGGCTGAAGCGGGGAGTGGGCTGAGGCCCCGGCCTCTGAACTCTTAACTGCTGGCTTATCATCTCAAAAACAGAAAGAAAGAAAAAAGAAAGAAGGAAGAAAAGGGAAGAAACCCATAGACATACACACGCACAAAAGAAAGGAGGAATGAAGGGAGGGAGGAAGGGATGGAGGAGAAAACAAAACAAAGCAAAAGAGGGCACAAACCCAAAAACCAACAACCAAACAAAAACACCCACCAACTCAAATACACCAAACACACTTTCACAACAGATGGAGAACACGGATTTCCTGTTTATTTCCTTGGTGACTTGGTCATACAAGCAAACACAGCAGGCCCCTTCGGAACCCCAAAGAACACACTGATGAGTCAGGTGACGCAATGGCCATGGTATTCTGGGTGGAGAGAAACACAACGGCAGTTTGGCGCAATGCTGCTAGATACTGTTGGTTTAAAATCAACCTTCTCATTCCCAAGTTGTACACAGCCCTGCAACAAATCAGAGAGAGGAGACTAGTTTGAAAAGAGAAAAACTCAAATATTCCATTGAGGTCTCCCTCTCCCCACCATGGGGGTGGAACTCAGGGCCTCTCACATGCCAGGCAAACATTCCACCACTGAGACAAACTACCAGCCCTGAAGTGTTTGTGTTGTTGCTGTTTTTAATGCAACTCATGTGCTCTCACCGAGTATTTTAAAGGCCTGCCGTATCGAGGCCGTAACACGGATTTGCCTGATGGCCTCACCTTCATCAAGTCTGTTCTGTCTTTCTAGAGACGGAACCACTAAAACTGACTGCATAGCCTTTGCATTACTCCAGCCAACCCAGTCAGTTGTCTACCACTGGTCTCTGATCACGTTTCCCTGTCTAGAATACCCTGCCACCTGCTCCTTAAAAAATATGATTGGCGGCCCAGAGGCCACCTCTGTTCTTTGGAGCTGTACCTCACTGTCTCCATGAGGGCCACAGCACCTGTAGCATGAGGTGTGTCCTGTGTCTTATCTCCACAGTTAAGCCTAGGTTCTGTGTCTTGCGTTCTTTTCATACGTCCCCATCCATACGCCCCCAGACTAGCATAGCACTTATTAATAAAAAGCAGGAAGAGGTGACGACTATAAAGGGAAGAGTGGCACTGTCAGCCGTGCTGGCCAGCACTCAGTGGATGAATCTCTTGCTGAGATCAGGAGCTGCCACTGGGCCGTAAGGCTGGGCTGGCCCTGGGCAGGTGACACTCACTCTGTTTCCTGCTACACGCCTGCCTGCTCCATGCTGAAGGAAACCTCGGGGTGCTTGTAGCTGAGCAGAATGTCTGTAATACACGTAGACGGATAGCAAGAGGAGTTTAAATGCTGGCTGCCGTCATTCAGGTCTGGGTGCTCGTGACCTCCCAGACTCACCCCACATTCTGCAAGACCGAAGAAAACATGTGAGATTGGCAGGGAGCTGGGGGAGGTTCGCGAACAAGGAGGGAGAGGGGAGGAAAAGGAGGCAGCCTGTCTGAGCACGCCACGGCCTGACTCCCAGCCCTGCACTTCAGTTCACAGTGGGCCGCCAGCTGTGAGCGACCCTGACTGTCCTCTAAGTGTCCCCGCTTCCCTAGCCCTTCACTATGGTATTTCCCACCCAGACTGGGCAACACAATGAGATCCTATCTGAAAACACAAAAAACGGCTGGGGATATAGCTCCGTGGAAAGGCCCTGGTTCAATCCCCACTGCTGCAAAAAAAAAGCCTTGCTTCTTGGAGGGTGAAGGAGATGGCATTGTGCTCGCAGGTGCCCTTTCCTGGGCACTTTCTTTCTGTTCTAGGGATCCTGTGAAGCACTCTCTCCTCAGTAAGCCAGCAGCCCTCACAGAACCACCTAGGACACAGGCTCTACTGCTTCTGTCACTTTACAGACAAGCACCTGGGAACCCAAAAGGTCACGTGGGCTGCCCGCAGAGCCTGTGAGGGCGCAGATCTACCCACGCCAGACCTGTGCTTTGTGTGCACTACGACAGCCTTCCTGGACTGGTTCTAAGGAGAGGTAGAAGTGTTTCCTTAGGACACTGACCCTCTAATCACAACCAGAAAAGCCACCATCACAGGTGCGTCTTCCCACAGCATTAGAAACACAATGTGACCAGCTGTGTTCGGGCAGGAGCCACACCCGCTTCTTACGCTCACATTAGGTGAGACAGGTGGGGTAGGGTGCTGGGTCCTGTTCTGCCTTCCTGTGAATTCCTAGCACAGAAGAGAGGAGTGGTCCGTGGCAAAGATGGGGGGAGCCCCTCCAGGAACTTCAATGGGGACCCAAGAATAAGGCCCCTTACCCTCATTTTCCCCCTCCTGAAACTGCTGGCTGCCCATGAGTGAAGACTGACTGAGAACTGCATCTGACATCCGGGCGGAGCTAAGTGCTTTCCCAGCCACGAGACTCATTCCTGGCAAGTTATCCAGCTGTACCTGTAGGAAACAATTAGGAAAAGATATACAGATACCGGAGAATGTGACCCTAGGAACACCTGTTCCTGGGGGCAGAGCCCAAAGGGTGGCCCAGGGCCCCACTCAGACCTCCTCTCCTGCAGCACCATCCCCCATCCACGGAGTCCTGCAGTGGTGACAGTGCGGGAAGCGGGCTCAGCCTTCCCCAGCACCGCAGGCAGGTGTGGATCGTTAGATCCCTGTACACCTACCTAAGCCCTTCTAAATCCAGGTCCCGACCTCTCACCCACCCCAGGAGTCGGCATTCAGATGGCACTGTTCAGCTGCACCCTGCATCGATGGAACCTTCAAGGCATGGTAGTGACTAGCTATTGGGCTACTGTGCACATACAGTGTGACCAGTATGACCGAGGACCTAAGTTTGTATATTGATTTAATTTTGGTAAATTTAAATTTGAATAGACACAGATGGCTAGTTGCTCCCATGTAATGCACCTCAGGAATGTGCCCTAAACAACAAAACTCTTTGCTGAGCCCCACTGGTCCCTATGTCAGGAAGTATAATGTAGCTGCTGGAAATGCACTAAGAGCCGAAGGGTTCATTTGCTGGGGCCTGAGTTTAGACTGAGGAGGGTTTAATAACTAAGAAACCAGATGGCAAGTGTTTTTGATTCCCTGGTCTAAAATCCAGAGTGATGAGTCTACTGGGAGTCTACGAGAGTTAAGGGCTAGTCTTAACTCCAGTAGGGTGATTCTAAGAAATATTCCCATAGTTCCCAAAATCCTGGCTTCTGAAGAAGAGCAGAGGGAAGGATGCTGCCCTATGTTACTAGGTTCTGTTTCAAGTTGGGACTGGTAGCATCCCACTTGCCAGAAGCAGGAAGGACCAACGTACGTAAGCATCATCACTGTTCTGGATCGTGTGGTGTCTCTGGAGGGTGCGGGGCCTGTGGTGCTCATTGACTGAGGGCCGTGCTGAGTACCCAAGTCCATTGTGGTCTGGCAGTTCCATTGCTTGTCCCGGAGAACTTCTATCCATGCAGTTCCCTATGACAGACTCTGAGGAGACAGAGCAAAACAGGGTCAGCAGATCGGCGGCTTCTCCCAGGAATGCCAACTCCTATGAAGGAAATGGAACGCCTTGCAAGGGACAGTGAGTGAGCTGGCGACCACAGCTGCACTAACGGCTCATCCTTAGCCAGCTGGTCATGGTGCTTAGAGGAACCTGGCAAGCCCGAGTCCTACAGCAAGGATGAGTTTCTCAATGGGGCCCTGGCTGGATCACACATTTTCTTCCTTCTTCATTTCCCTTTTAATCATGCCATGTTCCCAAACTATGATGCACACAAGGAGGACACTCAGAACTTCCAGGAACCTCTCAGAGAACACCTACTCTCTCTTTCCTTGGCTTCCACCTCGGTACCACGGCAGCCATCTCCTTTTTCTACCTCTCTAACTGCTGCTTTCAAGTCCTGTGGTCCCTCCACCCTTTCTAGGCAGATACTCTTCGCATTTCTGTCCTGAACTTCATTCTCCCCACAGTCATTTTGGCAATATCACCTATGCCCACAGCTTCAACTATACTGCCTCTAGTTAAGAATTACTGAAATGTTCTTGTTTTTTTTTGTTTTTTTTTGGTTTTTCTCTGGTACCGGGAACCGAACTCACGACCTTGCGCTTGCCAGGAAGGCGCTTTTGCCGCTGAGCTAAATCCCCAGCCCCCTGAAATGTTCTTTTAAGCTCCAGATCTTAAGATCCAACTGTTTACGAGCATCTTTCCTCAGATATCCAAGCAGCATGTGAACACTCACCACAAACAATCCAACCCACCCGCTTCCCCCATAACCCGGTACTCCTTCAGATAACCTTCCTTTGGCACCCAGTTTCTAGGCACAAGCTCTTGGGCTCACTACTGACTTTTTACTCCTGATTCCACAACAGCCTCAAGTTTGGAGAATCTATCTGTATAACAGTGGACACTTCAGGCCCCATCTTTCCAAAACCACTGAAGCCCCATTCCCTTGTGCTTGGATTAAATCTCTTCACCATCGCCCTACCACTACCCTATACATATTAACCTTTCTCTGGAGTAGTGCATGTACCTTCCTTTTCTGTCCATACACTTCAGGCTGGGCAAGCACTCCACACCTGAGCTACTTCCTCAGCCCCAACACTTCCTTTTCCAGCACTGCCATGACCTAGCCTTCAATCAGCCTCTCAAACTTTGCTCCTGTCTGTATTTTAAACTCTAGTCAAATGGGATCCTTAACTTTTCCCCACCATTCACAGTCCTACGCACTTTCCTGGCTGTTCCTTCTTCCTGGAAGTTCTACTTCCACCCTGCCACTGCAACTCAATTCATCCTTCCAGGTCCTTCTCAAATGTTATCATCTTTATACAACTTTTCCTTTCAACTAGAAATAGATTATTTTTTCCACTACCCCTAGTACCACGTTCAACTGCGTACTTTTCTCAGTCATACATACTAATGGGAGATCTGTGAGGGCGAGACTGTATACTCTGTGAGCCTTCAGGGTTCAGAACTTTTCCCATCCCCAGTGTTTCTTACTGTCTCTTTAACTGATGTCAGTGCGTGCTCTCTTAATACTTCTTGGCATCCTATCAGAGTCAAGGAACTCTATGGCCCGAGTTTAGAGAGAAATGAGTTTCTTCTTGATCAAGGCCAGCTAAAAAGAGCATCAGGATTGTGTCTAAGTTGACAGGATCCTCCTGGTAGCACTTTTGGCTTCTGTCTTTAAGAGCCTGCAACTTAAACGTATGTTTTGTTTGCTAGGTTGTTTTCCTGACGTAAAGCTCCTCGGCAACTATGGACTTATGTCCTCATAAACTGACCCTTGGCAAGACCAAGTTTTTAAAAAGTTCTTACGATGAAACACAGTGCCAATGCTAATGGTGTCATTTCCGTATCTAAACAATAAAAGCAAACACACTGCCTGAGTGTTGGGTAAAGAGTTTCATGTCTCTGTAAATGGCCTCCTGTGGCAATAAAGGTTAGGAATAAGCTTAGAGGCTAAAGCAGCAGGGATTGGGATGGGAAGTAAGTGACATGCACATTATTGCAAATGCAAGATGTTCTGGGGAAAAATGGGAGGCTGGGGGGGAGCTTCCCAACTACCAAAGGTGAAGGCAAATGAGAAATCTTTCGAAATTTCTCTGAGTAAAGGGGTGAAGAACAGCCAGAAGCTAGTGAAAGAAACTAGCAGAAAGAAGAAAACTGACTTGCTCTTTGGGACAAGCTCATCCACCTTGCCCACTCAGCCAGTTCTCTCAGTGGGCACAGCTCCCAAGAAGCCTCAGGGCCCACCAAACGACTGGCAGGAATGGTACAACACTGGCTCTGTGGGAGCACGGAGCAACGCCAGAAGCTGCCTGTCATGCTGTCAAAGTATTTTCTAAGGCCTACATTGTCTAGTTTGACAGCCAACATGACCTACTCAATCCCTTCGTGGTGGTGGGGTCTTTTTTTCCTTTAAGGCTGGTTGCAAATATCATCGGTCCTACTTCTCTGCTCTCCCCAAAACCAGAATGACTGCTTTTCTATTTAAAGATTTTAAAGGATCATTATCAAACACGATGAGAGGGCATAGCTAACAAAATATATCCAGTCTCAGTTCTCCATGTTTAGTGTCTTCCTCTCCTTCTAGAGGTCCTGATGATGTACTGGTTTTTCATGTCTGTTTAGTCCCCTTCCCACTTTCTCATTTTGAATTTGTTTTTATTTCTGTGAACAGCATTTCTCTGAATCCAAGTCCTTCCTTCTGGCTCTGGCTTTGGAAGGTCAACTAGACTTTGTTCTCCTTGTCTGCTCTCTGCCACACCGTCATGTCTGATGCCAACCGGCCTGAGAGCACCACCAAGACACAAGAAGGTATCACTAGACAGTCACACAATTCTTATGCCCTGCGACTCCCCAGCCTAGAGGTCACCCCTCAGCCAAGGAGAGCTGACACAGCAGACATGAGCACAAGTCTGGTCAGAAGATTTAGGCTTGAACCTGGCTCCCTCACTTCCTAAGGAGGGGAAACTAAGGCAAGTTACCCAATTCCGGGTCTCAACTTCCTCATCTGTAACTCAGCACCCATATAGTATACACAAAAAGAGTTTAGTAGAGATGGGTATTCACAGTCTTTTTTCTTTCTTTTAAGAACTTATTTTAATTTTTTATTTTTGTAGTGCTGGAGACCGAACTCAGGGACTTACCCATGCTAGGTAAATTGCTCTACCCTGAGCTCTGAGTGGGGAAGGACACAAGGAGTCAACTGAAAAAAACAAGCTGATTTTATCACTGAGCCTTACTTGCAGAGCTGTGTAGGGCAGTTTCCCCATATGTAAATGCACAGATGGGTTACTGAAACTTAAGTGTCCCAAGAGGCAGCCTCTGACTTGGGAGAGACAACTGCGGTTAAAACCAGATGAAGGGCTGGGGGTGTGGGTCGGGGGTAGAGCCTGCACGCACATGCTTCTGGTTTAATCTCCAGTGAACAGAATGGAACAGACAAAACAAAACAAAACAAAACACAGTAAGATAAACAATAAGTATACAGGAACCAGGGCTCTGTTCAAGTTTCAGTGTGATCAATAGGTCAGAGACCTGGAAGAACCAATGTCTTTCACTTGCCAGTTGAGATCGAAGGTGTGAAGTGGAGACATGGAGGCTGCTGTGCTTTGGATGGGAAATGTCCCCCAAAAGCTCACGTGCTAAAGGCCTGATCCTCAGTTTCTGGTGTTACTGGGAGGTGGTGGAACCTTTAGGAGGCGGATCTACTGGACAGAAGTCAGGTCACTGGGGGAATGTCCTGGAAGGGGATTAGGCCCCCATCCCTCTTCTCCATCTTTTTTTTACTTCCCAGCCACCAGGAGGTGAGCAGTTCTTGCCCTACCATGTGTTCCCGACCATGAAGTTCCGGCTCAAGTATTTTGTCCCAGCGATAGAAAGCTGACTAACACTGAGACATACAGGAAAGAAGACCAAAGAATCAGAAAACTTCAAGTCAGGATCCAGCTCTAGTACTGACAGAATATATATATACATTTGGGCAGGTCATTTGACTTCGGCTGATATTAGGTTTCCTATCTAAAAAATGAGTTGTTTGGGGATTCAAAAATTAACATAAATGAGAGGGGCTCTGATAAATTATACAGAACTGCACAAGTATTTTTAGTAAGGATGCTGAGCCTACATCTAGAAGTCTTCTGTGACACTCTGTAGGTAAGACTTACTAACCACTTGGGAGGTGCTAAGCAGACTAACCCACTGATCAGTAGACATGGGGTTCAGGTTCAACTCTTGGGCATCCTTCACACGAATTCAGCAGCTAGAGGAACAGCAAGGCTCACTGATGGATATGTAAATAAGGGGAAGAAGACGAGTTCCAAAAGCTCCATGCACATGTATTTCCCGAGGTAAAGCGGAGAGAGTACACAGGGTAGGATATCTGTCTGCTCACACAAGGGAAACAAGGCTCAAATGGATACAATGCATACCACCCACCTACCCAGAGAACTCTGGGGCAGCTTGCACAACTCACTATTCAAACTGTCAATGTTGACTCATCTTTACACATTTACTGGGCTTTTAAGAGAAAAACGAGAGAAATGATATGTTTGTATATTCCTTTAAAGGCTCTGAGAGGGAACCTTCCTCAGGCTCTCAGCATTTTACACCTCTCTGAGAAATTAGTGAGAAACATTTCAAAAGATATTTAAATACATGGTGATCAAGGGCCAGGGAGGGATGAAGGGTGAGGCATACTCACTTCAGCTTTCTCCCCCACCTCAGTGCTTTGCAAAGCAGGGCACGCTCAGACTCTGCTGGAGTGAAGTGAGTAACGGGTACAGCTGCCCCTTGCTAGCCCTTCCTTTTGAGGCAAGTTCCTTACCTCTATGACTCAGGTGTCTCATTTAAAGTGGAGACAGGAGGTTATTCTAAGGATCAAATGACTTTATAAATGAACAGCATTTGGTGTCTGGCACGTGGAAAGTGCAACAGAAACATTAGGTATTTTCCTTTTTCTGCCAACTGTAAGATGCTAATCTACTAGCGGCTTTCCCCACAAATATCCAAGATTTGATCTGCCAAACACTTCCAACACGCGGCTTCCAGGGTGCTAAGGTGGCCTGTTCTGTAGAGATCTTGGAGATATCTTTGTAGGGGATGGAAACATGCTACAACTTCTATCTTGACCTCGGTTTTGCCCTATCACATGAATCAGAAAAGTCTAACTCCTTCCCATAGATGTGTTTTTTCCTTACATGTTCCTTCCTGACCTTAAATACTGCTGTTCACACATGACCTGTTCTGAAAGCTGCCACCTAAGCTTGCTTCAAGTACAGCAGCCACAGGTGGTCACAATACATCAGACAGAGACGATCTCTAGGCTGGATGATGCACCCTGTTTGAAAGCCCAGGATTTAATTGCCTTTTATGCAACTATATTTCCCTCCTATCACAGCAGAAAGTGAGTACACCTAAAACCACCAAGCCCTTTTTACTTCCCCTGCTTTGATGCAAGGTGTTCTATCCTGCTTTGTGCTACAGAACCTAATGCCCCTTGGCGCTGAATTTTGTGTGCTGACTTTAGAGAACAAGGCAGGAGATGCAAGTAAGGCCAGGGTGGGAAGGACAGAAGAAATGCTGTTTCAAGGCTGTGTAGTTTATGGGTAGATTCACTTCTGTTCCCTTGATGGCTGTGATGAAGAGTAGTAAACTGCAAGGTCTATGCTGGCAGGACTGAAATTCCCAGTTTTGTCTAGGATGAATGCTAAGATGCTAACGGAACTAATTTACTGATGGCAACCTTCCTCTCCTTCAGACGAAAATGAATGCACTCATTAATTATAAAGTGAAAAAAATGAAATGGCATGGAGCCTCTATGATGCTGTATTTAGCGCACTGATGAAATGCCGAGTAATACCACTATCTGTTTATGCCTTTACGCCATACACTTGAGAATATCAAGTGTTTTTCTCCTTCGCTTTCCCATGCAAACATTTCCATAATACTGGCTAATCTTTTCCTATTGTAGAATCTCTTTTGAAAATAGGAAGCTCTGGATTCCAAGAAATGACAGTATGAACAGGGGAAATAGATAATGTATCTTACTGGTTGTGCTAGACATTAACTATCTGTCACTATTATACTTAGAAAATGAATCCCTCACCCATCAATAACCATTTCTCTATGCTTTTCTCCAAATCGTCCCGAAAGTCTTCTCAGGAATTCTTGCTTTCTTAAGAACAGAAAGTACTAGCTGAAACAAATTGCCATTATTGAATTAGAACACACTGGACCAGGACTTTTACTTTGACAGACTCTTACCTCGGCTGGGCACCTTATTCCTATTGAACGCAGCAGTTGACTGATGTCCATAGGGATGTAATCCCAATTCTTGGGCATGACTCACAGTTCCTAGCAAAGATTCAGGATCCCCAGGTCCACCTGTACTCAAGAGTAGAGGGCTGTCGTGGCAACCTTTGGTCAACGAACTTGAACTCTTGCTGTCCAGAAAGCCCTCCTTGGCCCCCTCACACAAGCAGTCCTCCTCCATGCTCTCTGAGGGCATGAGTGCCGGCTGAGGAGCATACCCATGGGTTGCGGCAGGTGAGGACACCTGTGAGATACATTCTTGCGCCCTGATTTGCAGAAGATGCTGGGGGCTGGTGTGGTGGTGGTGATATGAGTCAGCATTTTGATAGGATAAAGCCTGGTGCTCTGTCATACTCTGTCCCCCAAGGTTGGGGGCCAGGCTCCCAGCATCCCCTTGGTTCATGTGCCTGAACAAGTCTTGGTACTCTTGCTGTTGTTGCTGCTGCTGTTGTCGTTGCTGCTGCTGCCTTTTAATAAGCTGTGCAAACTCTGCTGGAGGCAGCCGAATGTCCGAGTGGCCAGTGAGTGAATGCCGGGGAGAGAGAAGTCCTTGAAGGATATGGGGTACCTGCTGGTGTCTGGTATAGTCTGGCGGTGTGGGGGACAGCAGGGCCTGCTGTAGTGCCGATGTGGTATAGTGTGGTGGCTGCTGATGTGCACTGGGAGGGAAGGCAGGGAGCTGGTCAAGTGGAGGGACTTTCAGGGCTTGGGCTGGAGGGAACCCCACTCCTGGTGAAGGGCTGTAGCTGCTGGGGGAAGCCCGGGACTGGTCCGAAAACAGATGGGGGTGCAAATGCGGCTGGTCGTAGTTAGCAGGGGAGAACCGATTCATGTTCAAGCTGCAGACACAAAAAGAGGTGAGTACCGGGCAACCATGGGACACGTGTGCTAGACTCTCCAGGAATAGCTACCTCTCTTCCTCACCAGGAGGCACCCTGACACAGCAAGCTGTGGTGTGACAAGGAAGAGGGGCACAGAAGCAGCCACTCCATCTGTCCTCTTACACATCCAAATCTTCCAGGGACTCAGCAGCACACTATTAGCATGAGTACCTTGAAGGCAGCATCATGGCCTATCTTAAAACACCACTTAAGCTATTAAAAGGCATTATTAATCTCTTAGAAGACTGACAGGGAGTATGCTTTTTTGCAAACAATTAGGTTGTTTCACCCCTTTCCTTCTCTGCCTCATTAGCATTTTAATTCTAGGTCCTTAAAATCACCTACAAGTTCATGACAAACCCACCACCTTGATTTTAGAAAGGGTGAAATGAGTAGCTCAGTGAGGCCATTCTCAGTCCCTGCTTCTCTCTTACCCTACTAAGGGGCTTTCTCCCACCTCTGCCACGTAGACGGCTGGGTGACATGAGGCAGCCTTACCTATGGGCCTCCGCGCTGTCAGCACTGAGCTGCTTGGACAAGGGCCGGTGCCCATAGCTGAAGGTGGCCATCAGGTTGGATCGGTGCTGCATCTGAATCTGATTGGCACTGGGGCTCATGGAGATGCCCCGCCCGGTAGAGCTCGCAGCTGTCCCTGGCATGTTATTGAGCAGGTCAACTGGCTCTTGTACTTGGATGGTCACCTGCTGTGACTGGGTAGGCTGCTGGATGCCCAAGCAGGTGAGTGCCACGTTGGGAGGAGGAGAACAGTTCTCAGGCTGCTGCTGGAAGATTGCACTGCGGGAGGGTAAGCCTTGAAACTGGGAGGGAGCTGCAGCACCTGGAGAGAAAGGGACGTCAGAGTGACCAGTGTTCAGATTACATGCCAGCCTGGAGGATGGGGCTGATGGCGAGACTCGCATCAGAGAGCATCTAAAACAGCCTTCTCAAACGTTAGTACACATAAGGCAAGACCACAGAACTTGTTTAACAGAAGGATTTCCCACATCCTACCTACAGCAATCTCACTCAGTAGGTCAAGGTGGGTTCCCGAGAATTTGTATTTCCAAAAAGTCCCTCTAGAAGCTGGTCTGTAGATTATATTTTGAGGAGCTCAGATCCAGGCAGTGCATCTCAAGCTTGGATGTGCAATCAAATAGCCTAGGGATCTGGTTATTGTGTACATTCTGATTTAGCATGTCAGGGATGGGACCTGAGATTCTACTTTCCCTGCCAATGTTGGGACAGGCCTAGATTGAAACTCTTCTCGGGAATGGCAAGAAGGATGACAAAGATCTGGACTGTGTGGTGGTCTCTGAAGTGTCATACTCACTCCACCTCCACCTAAACCCCCGTAAGAGAGGGTCCCACATGTACCACGATAACCAAACACAGGCATGGCAACAGGAAGGTTTGGGTTGCAGCCTTTTATCTCATAGGGTTGGAGGAGTTAATTGGTTGTTTTTTTTTTTTTTTTTTTTTGGTACCGGGAATCAAACTCAGGACCTTGCACTTGCCAGGCAGGCACTTGTGCCACTGAGCTATATCCCCAGCCCTGGAGGAGTTACTGGTAAAAATACCAATAATAGAACCTTAACTATTTGTGTCAAAGACTGTTCCAAGTACTTTACATATACAGTCATTAGATACCATCATTACTGAGAAAGTGGATGTACCCAGAAGTTAAGTAATTTACTTAAGGGACTATAGGCAAGAAATTCACGGAACCAGGATTCAAGCCAAGGTGGTCTAGCTCCACCGCCCTAAATAGTACATTATTCTGCCTTTCAAATGGCTCACAGCATGCAAAACTAAGATGGTTCAGAAAGAACAAAAAAGAAAAAAGACCCGTAAGACTAAGACAGTCACTTTCCTTGTGTGGCACACACGGCTCCGTCTGGCCCTCTCCACTCACCGTGAGACTGGATCATGGCACTGTTCATAGGGGGAGGGCTGTTACTTGGCTGCCTGAAGAGATGGTTGTTGGGGTGGTTGGGGGGTGGGCTTGAAGGCTGAATCCTTAACCTTAAGAATGACAGAACGAATAAAGAAACTTCCTGAGGTGACAGAACGACCTTATGTGTTAGTCATACAACCCACACAAGAAGAACCTTTTTTAGTTTTGATAAGCCACCATGCTACAGAAGCACACATAACTCAGCTACCTCAGCCAGTTAAAAACCTAACCACATCTTGTTTCACCACACCTTTCCACCACAGAGGCATAGTCCACTTTGAAACTGCCTGACCTCTACTAGTACATGTCAGATCACTTTGTTCTTGGGGTTAAGAAAATGAAGCGGCACAGGAAGTCAGGATTCCAGGGAGGCTCTTGAGCTTTAAGTTAGTTTCTCTGCTTTTCAAGTAGATTCTTCCAAAATGAATGCTACAGTTGGTCAGTTATCTCCCATAAGAGTCAGGCCAAGGGTACCATGCTTTAGGCCCAATGATTTTGGTGTAACACAGTGACTCATTACCTCTGGAGCTGGTGGGTGAGGAGGGCTGGCTGATTTTCACACGCAGCCTGAAGAGGTGGGGAAGGCTGAGGAGGACAGATAGAGTCCTAAAACGAACACGGGAAAGAGAAAAAAGAACAACTATGAGCTGAAGATTCATCAGAGCTCTTCTCAGGAAGGACAGAAACAGAAAGAACTATCTATGACTCAGATTTATGCGTCAGTTATTCATCCAAAGGTTGGGTTACCTTTATCCAAATATGTCAGCCATATACATAACACAACTCCACTTTGTCTTGAGTGTTCTCCTCCACAATGCACAGGCAAACCAGCCTGAAAACAAACTCCAAACAGGTTGGAGAAAGCAAAGAGTGAGAGCCTACTTGAATCTGCTGCTGGAGAATTTGATGGTGCTGTTCCTGCTGGTATAGCATATGCTGCTGCTGGGTCTTCTCCAGGGTTCTTTCATCAATCTGCCCCCCGTACATCTTCTGCAACTGCTCACACTCCTGAAGGGAAAGTATTTAATACAGATGGGATGTAGCCAGGCGCACCCCATGCAGTGATCTCAGCAGATGCAGATCTGCCCCAAGGTCTCACGGGCAGAAGGAACCACAAGAGAAGAATAATGTCCTGGATGAGTAGTTGACTCACTTACTCAGGTATCTGTATACTAAGTATCTTTATACTTTGTTCTGTGTAAACGAATGGGAAATACCAAGGATACACCAAAGCCTGCGTGCGAGTAGTGTCCAGGGAAATCTCGTGCACAAAGCACTTGCCACTTGAGATGCGGGGATCGGGAAGGCAGAACGGAAAACTGACCCTTCCTAGAAGCCTGCCTCTACAGCACCATTCTGAGCCAAGTGGAGAGCATGACAGGTGTAACCCAGCACCCTACGTCGTGAGGGAATGACCGACTTGCTTAGAAGTACCTTGCTTCCCACTCAAACCCACCCCTGAAATCCCTTTCCTAAGAACTACACCGACAGGAGAAACAAGGTCCCTTTGTGGGCAAAGCAGGTTTGATCCCGGGGAGAGCTGTCTAACAAGGTGTAAGGAAAGAGCATTAGAAGCTACACTTTAACCTATAAAACCGAGGCACTGCTGGCATGAAGGCTTAGACAATTCACCACCCTAGTCCTCTGCAGTACCAGTCTCCTTGCTACCCATGCTTCTCCAGAGACACCTGATACCGCTCCCATTACCTGCTGCAACTGTTTGATGCTGCTGTTGTTGCCCATTTTTTCCAAGTGAGCTTTGAAGGCCTGGATGCTTGCAGCCCCATCTGAGAACCGGCGCACGGGGGAGAAACGCTCCGTAGGGAGGTGCAGGGTGTTGGAGTCCTTGTAGGTGGAGCTGAATACACGGGAAGAGAAGGTTAGGGCTAGGACTCAAGGGTTTTGACCAAATCACACAGGGACTGCTGTTTCAGATGACACAAAGATGGCTGACTGCATGTGTAGCCCTGTGCATTATGCTACTTCTACACCATTTTCACTTGAAGCTTGCTTCCCTAGTCTGCTATGCTTTAGAGGGCTCCAGGCATACAGTCCATCTCCATGTACTTTCAGCTGGCCTACTTTCCAGGCCTGATGTGGTTCTGGGATCAAATATATCCAGTTCTTATAAATATGCTAGACCAGAGAGAGAAGCTCCTCAATACCCCCAGGACCAGCTGTACAGGAGCTCTGGCTTTAAAAATCACATTTCTATACGGTACTATTAGAGACCTCACTGTCCGGCCCACAATTTTCCCTGAGCAGTAATCTTCTGTAGGACCAGAGTGAAACTACAGTCAACTCTGTGGTCAAAGGTCTGGCCTGGAACTCACAGTTCTGTGCTAGAAAAGGGAGGGTGGAGGCTGAAGTGGGGGAAATGGGGACTTCTGATCCTGGGATGGTGACAGCACATTCTTAAGGAATGTGGGCCTCAAGATCCTGCACGTACCTTGTGAACACAAGTGAGGTTACCTACTGTGAACACTAACTTCTCAGAGCACCAGCGCCCGCCCAGCCTCCTAGTGACAGAAGAATCACGTGCATTACCTTCAAAGACCCCGCTGCTCATTCAGAACACAGCCAGTATCTTACAGAAAGAAAGAACAAGCTATTGATAAGGAATGCCTAAGACAGCATCAGGGTTAGAAGCTAACACCTTTACTCATGACCTAATCACAAAGAGATGTTTATGGGTTGAGGCAAGCAGATAAAAGACTGCCAAGGCAGCATTCAACAGCTGATGGAAAGGGTCAGGGTTTCATGTCCAGGGCAGAGATGACATTACACTGAGCTATGGGTGAAATGATGGCTCACCTTGCCAGTTACTCACTTTGGACTGAAGCAGAACCATAGTTAAGGAAGCAGGTTAATAAGCGAGTTCAAATACAATGCAGACAGAAAGGGACTTAGGAGAAATGATGATTGTGCAGAGATGTCAAAAGAATTCTGGCAGCAGATGAACACCCTTCATTTCTCTTTACTAATGTTGACTTCCGCTTTAGACTTTACCCATAGCTTGACAAAGAAGTGAGCTAATGAAATGAGTGCGAGCGTATATTTGTTTCAGTGACACAAAAGACAAATGACTGGAGTGAACATAATCCAGAAACAGTGATCATGGAAGCTGATTTCGGAAGCATGTTTTCAAAATTTTTCTTTTCTGTCTCTACTTCAGATTTGAGTTAAAGTGAGCAAGTATTTTCTGCAATTCAACTCCTAGGCTTTCAATATTTTCAGATAATGAACACATTATAATAGACACATTTCTGATGCATTAAGAAAGCTGTGTTCTTCAAGCAGTCAGTGCAGGGTTTCTGCCATTTTCCTTCATCAGAGGAGTGATATCTCGGGTCCAGGTATTTCAGGACTTTCAGAAGCTCAGGTGGTAAAGAGACTGATTTCCAAGTCAGTCCAGCAAAGTAACTTCAGAGGAACAGTTCTGATGGAGTTGTTCATTTTAGAAGTACTGATAGCTTTTATTTCTCTTAGCAATCAAGTTCAAACTCAAGAAAGCCTCACATTAAGTTATTTCCCACTATACTCTTTAAACAGAAACTTGGCTTCCCTGGATGGAATCCATCTTGTGTCAATTTCTTTTAGTTACACTTTTTAAAATTTTAGATCACACACTTCTAGGAATACAAAGGTTGAACAGACCCCTTTTCTGTCTCCATGTTGGAGTTCATCTACTGTACCAGTGCAGGGACCGTGGGTTCAAGCCCCCATCCCTCCACACATAAAGACACACAGAAGACCGGGCGTGGTGGCGCACGCCTGTAATCCCAGCACTCGGGAGGCTGAGGCAGGAGGATCGTTGTGAGTTCGAGGCCAACCTGGGCTACAAAGTGAGTTCAAGGCCAGCCTGAACTGCATAGCAAGACCCTGTCTCAAAACTACCAAAAAAAAAGAAAAAAA